CATAGCCAAAATCAACACGAATTCGTACATCGGTACAACAACCACCACACTTGATCTCTCTAAAAGTGTACCACAACATTCATTTAATTACCTACGATTAGAGATTTTTGACGAAATTGTATTTTCACGAGTATGAACCTTACTTAGCCTGTTTTTCGTGTTTTTTGTTAAGTTTCGATGGACCAATATTATTTCAATTAATAAATTATTTCAAAAGAAAGAAAAAAATCATCACAGCATTTTTGTACTCACTTGTACATTTTTTAGGCATTACAGTAAAAGTTCCGTCAGATTTACAAATTGCATACTTTGGCATCGATCCAGACGAGTCATAATATCCATGATCACATTCATATTTTATCCAATCGCCGGGCATGTAGTACATTTTAGAATAGCATTTGTGCAAATATACAGCATGTTTAGGTGACTTACATAGTTCTGTAGAGTAAAATATCTTTATTACGTCCCCTACTCTCTACCACTGAATCGTTCAGGGTAAAGGAATATTCACAAATGACAATACCGATTCATTATATTCATTTGTTGACTAATTGTTTTGATCTGGCTTATTTCAACAATAATTTTGATGGGCTTGTTTCCAGATTTTCCCATTTTGTAAAATCTTTCATGCTTAGATAGCATTCAGAAGTAACAGCATTGTATCAAAACAAACTAACAAAATCAATCAATCAATAGTTAAATCAACTTACTTTTCGGTAATTCTACACACATCGGAATCATGTCCCATTTTCCGCCATTGCCACAAGTGCTGTACATTTGATTATAGCCTGAATATTTCTTGTAAAATCCAGATTTGCATTTCACGTAAAGTCTGTCCCCAATCATGTAATACTTCTTATCAGGTTTAAGCTTTTCGGAATTCATTATATTTGGCGACTTGCAATAAGCTGTCATGAATAGAAAAGAACGAATAAATGTATATTAAACTGAATATTACACTATTAGTCTATAATGTGTTCGATGTGTGTTTTATCAATGCTTTAGGGAAGTGTCCTTGCTTTATTTATAAACTAGTACATAGGTTCTCAAAGTGCTCCGTACGGAGCCCCAGGGCTCCGCGAGAGAAACCTAGGGGCTCCGTGAGCTATCCGATTACTTTTTAAAATAATGACTAGTTTTGTAACTGTTCAAAGAAACAATAACAGCTTTGATAAAATTTGACAACATTATAGCCTCGAAATATGGCAAAGAGGCGGAATCGAAAAATGACATTATTTATAAGCTGGAGCGCAGCCAGGATTCTCAAGAGGTGGGGATTTGAATCGGAAATTTCCGCGCAACATTCTTTGCGATTATAAAAAACGGATAACGAGATTTCTGTTGCGTAAAATATTCAATGTATGGCCGATGCGAGCATTTAAAGTGTCTCGTCGTAATAATTCAATTGTACTCATAGTTACTCAAGTTTCATTCGAGATTACTATTAGGATTACTAAAATGAAGGAATACTATTCTAAAATAACATAAAATACGTGATAAACTGCCACCTATGAATAAATTGGAGTCGTATTTTTGCGATCTTGGAATTTGTCAAACTTGATTTGTTCTTTTGCACTCGAGATTATTATTAAGCAAGATATCGCCGTTAAAAAAATCACAAGATCTGGGCAAAATACGATTGAAATTTATTTTAATGCATGCGGCTCCGTCGGTAGTTTCAGAATAAAAAAAAGGTGAATCGCGCACACAATTGACTGTGTTTCGATTTCTCAGTTACTGTACTACGAATAACCAAAGAAAACCTAACATTACACCAAATTTTGTGATTTACAATGCCTATAAAAGCGTTTTTAATCTGACGTGAGTCTGCTAAAACCAAACTTATAGTGTGATCTTTTATTTTGAAATTTAATATTTTGGAATGCCGTTTTTCAATCAAGAAATTTGAGTTGCGGATTTACCTCTTTATTATTAATTATTATTTTTAGCATTTCGTCGCCGATGACTATATATGGTAACATGTTTTTCACATTGAACTCATAATTCCCCACGAGAACAAAAAAGCAATCATCGTCGTCATTGTGGAACAATACGTGTATAAGCCGAAGAAAATTTTTGATTTAGGGAGAATAAACACTGGCGTAAAGATGTTTAACATGCCATGCTGACGAAAACTATCGGTGATTGTAACAAAATGCAATCGCGCACGTTATTAGCAGCCTTTTAGTTTTAAGTCTTCCGAAAATGTCAAAAGGGAAAAGATTCGACCCCTAGTTTATTAATATGTTTGTCAAGCGTCAAATTTACAGCTTTAGTAAGAGTATATATAATTTATCTTTGAAATTTGATTTATTTATGACTTGCATTAACCCCATTAAAAAAAGGTTTAGCCTTTAAATTAAGTTAAGTACTTTTAACTTACTCAGGAATATTTATCGGAAAGCTACAATTTTAACATTTCTTTTGGGGCTCCGCGAATAATGGTCAACCTTTTCAGGGGCTCCGCAACACCAAAAGTTTGAGAACCCCTGAACTAGTAGACATGATCATAAGA